GCAAACATAAAATGTTGTGATGATGGCACGGTTAACGGGGAGCTGGCGCACTAAGTAGGAGGCCGCAGAGAGAATTAGTGAAGTCGTCTGCGCCACGGTTAAACATTCTGAATATCCCAATGCTGATGCTTTAATCAAATGCCCCTCCTGCAGTAGCAGGTGGGGGTTTGGGGAGTAGAGGTGGGGGTTAACTGAGGAGAAGGGTGAGCCAGTCAGTCTGGGGCCTGGAGCCTCCTGACTGTGTGGCTCCACAGGTAATATCTGAGACAGTTTGCTGTAATAATAACATCGATGACAGCCGAGGCAGATTAGAGGAGGAGACAGGGAGAAAGTGCAACTTTCTCCTGTTTGTTATGTTACTGATGACACAAGACTTAATACAAGAGAGCTCTTTGTCTGCTGCAGAGGGATAATGTTAATGCTTTTGTAAAGAAAGACGTTGAAAAGATGGTCCCTGTACTGTCAAAGTCATCATTTCCTGAGTGCTTTATCAAGTTTTTATTCAAAACAATGGGGCTTGCTAAGAAGCAAGTGTTTGAATTCTGGTCTTGGATGATGTTAAAGTTTCATTGTGATACTTTACAACATAGACCTTTGACAACAAGTATGAGTTTCATCAAACATTTACATCAGTGGCAGGTGGGCTCCTGGGGGAATAACATTGCCAGGCAGTCCATGGGTCAGGGTTCACGCCCCAGACTGAATATAGACTTTAATTTATCCTTACTTCTGCTTTGAGTTATATTAAGTAACATAAGTAATAACATAAGGTAATATCTAGGCTAAGTTTGGGCTAGTATTTAGCTATTTTTTGTGTCACCTTGTAGCTTATTTTTTTGTTAGCTCCTTTTGTTATTTGTAGTTAATTCTGTAGTGACTTTTAGAAACCTGTAGAATTTCTAAAGGTAAATATAGTTTTCTCTATAGTAAATTGGAAATGAATGAAATTTGATCTTTGTATCAAATATCTATCAAATAATAATTTGAAGGGAGGGGGATTTAATCTGATGTGACCCCCAGCCACTTAATGCTCAGAATACAGTTTCTTACTTTGTAAGTAATAGAGTACATTCTTTTACTTATAAACATGCACACACCTGCACTTTGACATATACACACACACCAGTGATAGCTCAATCACACCCTTCACAGCCTCAGTAAACATGTGGGAGCTTTTAGAGTAAGTTTAATGGCTATTTACTATGTTTTGTTCACTTCTCATTAAGTGTGTTTTCCACTCATAGAGAAGTAATGTTTTGGAAAATTCTGTGAAATGAAACACACACACACATCACGCCACCATTTGGCACATGTGGTTCTTTAATTAGCAATCTGGTGTCTATAAGGACAGAGTAGGAAACTGCAGAAACAGAACGACAGACGTGCGTTCAGAACAGTTGTCAAACCATATTTAACCAAAATTTCATTTAACTGGTGTTAGATTTTCTTCCAAAATTGTAGCTGGTTAACCACCAATTTCTTTAGTTATTCTTTCAAAGAAAAATATTTAAACAGCACTTTTACTAACTTATAAAACTGGATAAATATTTAGCTTACTTGCTTTGCAAAAAAATATTAGCATATTATCTTTTATTTTCCAACTTACAGTTTGTTTACTACTATGTTTACTATATTTTCTACAGTAAAAAAAGAATTAAAAAAAATTAGACACAGCTAGACCAAAAGAAACAAAGCATTTCATGCAGAAGGTTGTGGGTTCAGATCAGTATAAGTTGCACAGCCAAAAAAACACATAATGAAATGCATTTACTGGACACAAAGGTTGAAGTTTTCCACAATCGACAGTATTACTATCAATTATTTGAAAACTATATCTGCAATTAGTGAGTGTACACAACCACATTATTCATTAAATAAGTAAATAAAATGAATGCACTGACTAGAGTGATCTTCGCCTGACTCTAAAACCTGAAACATCTTCCCTGGCTCTGATTTTTTTTTATTATTATTAATTCAACAGTGGAATAAAAATGTAATATCATTTTGCAGTTTATGTATTCATGTGATGACCTGATAAAATTCTGTTGTGTCACAGCGACCGGACCGAACTGTTGCTTTATAGAATGATCTGCCTTTTCAGCTTTCTCTAACATCTGAGACGAGGGATGATTGATGCCAGAGGAGAAAAAAGGCCTTGAGGGTGGAGTACTTCAAACAAGACACAGAGAAGAACAATCTCAGACCCCTAACCTCCCGGGCCTCCTCCCACCCGCTCCCTCCTGCGGGTCTGTACCACTGAAAGGCTCCTCACTGGAGTCCACTTCTGCCCTGGCTGCCAGCTGGAGTGGCCCTAACCTCCGACCTTTGACCCCCAGCCAGCAGCATCACAGAACTCAGTCCCGGATGGAGAAGAGCTTGATGGTCTCTGCGGGGGGCACACATCCTGTGAGACACTGTGGTGAGCACAACACAGAGGAGAGAGTACAGGTGTTAAGAGCTGGGACAAGTGTTACACATGTTCTTCACACTGTCTTCACTGCAGCGCCTTCCTATTATACTCACAACAAATTTGCACAGGATCATAAAAAGCCTTTCACTTTGAGCGTGTGTGTGTGTGCGTGTCTGTCTGTCTGTCTGAGTTTGCGTGTCACGCTCCCATCTGTCCTGATGCTCCCGGGTTAAAGAGAGAATCCTGCTGTTCCATGATGGAAAACTTTGTGCTACAGAGAGATCCAGTTACAGGAGAACAGAGCTTTTATCCTTATTAAAGAAACATGTGGCCGCTCTCTGCTGCTGGGATGAATAGGGAAGAGACTGTTTTTCCTCCTTCCTCCTAAACTTTCATTTCTTTTTGATCATCATTGAAAATGAGGGGGAAACTTTTTTTTTTTTTTTTTACAGTTTTCATTAAAATTGAATTTAAGATTTTATTTAGATAACTTTAAAATTAGTTCGTTTTTAAAAAATTTAATTGCAGCTTATTTTTCTTAAATTTCCATCCATTTCCTTCTGTATTGGGTTTTAAGATTTATAATACTTTCCATAAATGTACAGTAGTAGTAGTAGTAGAATTCTTAGATTTAAGACAGATTAGACATTTGTTCATAGAACGCAGGATCTGCCAGCGATCTCTGTTTATTCAAAATGTTTTCTTTTTTCTTCTCAGATTTCCACCCTATTTCCTTGAATTCTAAATCACTTTGAATCCCACACCTTTTCTACAGAATTAAGGTAAGAGTGCTGCTTTCTTTTGATTATGACTTTTTAATAGAATTCCAAAAATTATTGAACATTAAAATAAAAATAATACATTTTTAGTATAATATACATTAGAATGAGGAGCTGGATTCTAAATTAATCTGAAAGATTAGAATTTTTCCCAGAAGTTATTGTAGTGCAAATATAGTGGCAGAAGGAAAGAATGGAGCTCTGGTCTTGTAAACTAACTCTGGATGGGACATTTATTTCTTGATATTGTTTTTTTTTAGTGCATAACATATGCATTTTCATTAAACCCAGTCTGTCATAATGGCCTACTGTACTAAGATCTGAAGGATCTGGTCATGTATAAAACATAAATTTAGTGGGACAGCTACAAACCTCCGTTAATTCCACATTCCCTGTCACATGAACCATCCTCAGCCCAGTCACAGGATGTGAATCACTGCCAGTGAATCAACTCCAGCAGCAGACCTTCATTGGGGGCAGATGACTGTCACAAAGATGATTATCTTTGTACTCTGTAGGCACCGTGTGGCCACTGTGCTCCCTGACCTCGCTTCCCAGAGGCTGCTTTGTTCCCGCACTGTGCCTGGTAGAACAACTGGCTCCGACATTTCAAAGCTTAATGACATACCTGCGGAGGAAAGGGAGGCAGAGCCTGATAAAGAAGGCTATCAGTGACGCGTGATTAGTAGCTTTAGCATAAACAATAAACTCTGTTACAGTAAACTGTGCTGGAACTACAGTATATACAGTAACCCAGCGTTGTCCAAACATGGGGCCAGATTCAATATTTAAAAAGTTTCCACTGTGGTTCTTTAAACAATATCTGTCAACTGACAATTGTGCTGTATCTTAACACTTTTTTTTTAGTGAAAATGTTTATTTAGAACTACTACTAGTTTATGCATCACATTTCTTTTTCACTAAACTCTGGAGAGCAGAGTGGTTATCAGACCAGACGTAGGACAAGTTGGACTTCAAAATAAATGGAGTCTTCAGTGTCGGCCAAAATCAACTAAAAACAAGGATGTTGATTTTGTTATCACATCCTCTGAATATCATCAAACACGTTTTTTAAACAAACATTACAGTTACGTTCATCTTATCTTGTGATAATGTTAGTACTGTAATATAGGAGGCAGCAGTTTAGAGTCAAGAGTTTAGATAAAAAAGTGAAAACAGAAGTGTTGGTTCCATTAGAGCAGAATTGCATTTAAGGAATGTTTGAAACAAGGATCAGTCCAAATATGAGACAACCTGAAAAGGGGAATATTTGTTAATATTGCTTAATAATATGCGTAATATTTTTGTGCACATTTCATCCATACTTTTGATTTTATGTGAAGTTCCTGGAGTGGTTGTTGAGCTTTGATTGGAAGTTGAGTGGTGCAAGACAAAATGTCTGTGAGTCATATTTCATGTCTTTCTCTGATGAAGTGTAATGATGTGGAGGGAGTCAGGGGTCATTGACTGGAACAAGGTGGTGACAGGTGAACAGAGCAGCGGTAATAGTCACAGACATAATGTCTGTGCTGGCTGACAGATGGACAACAGGAACTATTTTTCTCTCAGTACTGACATTCATGTGAACCAACAGTTCGTTTTGTAGCAGAACATAAACTTTAGTCTTTAGTATTTCTCAAATACGTTAGAAAAGCCAAGAATTTTTCATCGTCTAAACCTATTATCTTTGTTTACATACCCTTGATATGGGCCAGTTACATACAAATTGTTAGGGTTTTTTGTTGTAGTTCTTTGGAAACAAAATATTCCAAAAACTCTAGGAAGAATACAAGCTAGAGATACATCTAAGAATGCATTAATGTCTACCCTGACCCTAGTGCATGGTTTTGGGTCTGCGGGGTTTAAGATCTGGAAAAACAAAGTTAATTTCTGCTGTAAAATACCCCTCAGAGCTACTTCAGTCTGATAAGGGCTGGTACGAGTGCAGCAGATTGACTTTGATTCTGTCTTTGTTACTTATCCAGTTTCTGTCAGTTATCACTTGCTCTGCAAAATACAATAGGAAATAACTTTAGTCATAATTTTCCTGTCAGTTGTACTTTGCTCGAGTAGAAGCCAGTTCACAAGTCACAGCAAATTGAACTAACACAATAATGGCGCTGCGTCTGTCTCCTGAATGAGCCAACGTAGTTACTGTTACGCTATGGTTTTACAGCAGCCTATGAACTGATCCCTGAGGAAAGACGCCTGCCAAATTGGGATTTTACTAATGTCCCATAATAACTCCCAGATGGTGCAACGGCAGGAAATGCTTCAAAAACCTCAGAACAAATAGAATACGAAGGATGATGCACTCATGAGCAAGTCTGTTCTCACAATTTATCTGGACTCTCTGGATTCCTGGTTTTCTTAAAGAGAAACCTCCCCCGTGGCTGCAGTCACAGACTGTCTCTGTCTCTCTGCTTGACCTGTGCACTGCCATGGCTGCCCCCCCCACCTCCCCAATTCATCACTTAACCTTTGAAAAGTGGTCAACTGACTTCAGAGAGAAAAAGTGATTCCAGGATTAAAAGGGTGTGAGATCAGCCAACGCCGATTCCATAATTATGACAACAACCGCTGTCGAGTCTGCCCCACAGTGACTGTGGCCTTCAGTCGGTGTTTGTAAAGGCCCTAATAGACATCTGAGCAGGCTTTGGTCTCATGCTTGTGAAAGCACTTTAGCAAAGAGGTAAACAGCCTGGGGCCAGCAATAATAGAGTGGAACTGATTAGAGGAGGAGAGGAAGGAGAGGAGAGAGAAAGAAGAGAGGAAAGTGAGACACCAACTGATAGCATCTCCTTAACCAGACCTGATTATATTAGACAACCAAGACGCCATAATCTGTGAGATGACTGTGTGTTTAAGGGCACATGTGAACAGTTAACAACAACAAAAGAGCAGACTGTGGAAATATATTTGTTTTCAAAGACAGATGTGAACAATACTGAAAAATAAAAAACATAAAACGTCTCTAAGCCTCGGAAGAAATTAACAAACTCTACCAAGAAAAGGATAGAAACATCTTAAATAAACTCGATGTCTTATTTGAAATGATACATATAAACGTGCTTTACCTAAATTAAAAATAGACCAGATTGATGGCAGTAATGCAGCTTCAAGAACACTGGCTGTTGTTAAAAAGAAACATGGAGTGTGGGAAGGACAGGATCAGCTCACAGGAACAGATGGACACTTTTTGTATCGTGGCTAAAACGTTTAGCATTTTTGGTCTATACAATAATACAAGTCATTTGTTTAGATCCCGGTGAGTTTAGTATCAGTTGCAGGACAGTATCACCTCACCCATGTGTGATTAACCTCAGATGTGTCTGTCATTAGATCCATTACCCTTTTTTTGTTGTCTTAAAGGACAAGTGTATTATTTATTCTAATGGACAAAGGTTTGAGTAAGATTGAGGCCTAGTTTAAAATGATTGGGTTTTTTATTTTTATATCCTTTGTTTTACTAATATCATGATTGTTATTGTTCTTATAACTTGTCTCTGTCCAACTTTTTCTCCTTATCTCACATTTCTATTTTCTCACCGCTACCCTAACGTAAACACCTGACCTTTGCGGTTCTCTATATTTTTTAAAGTCTTGTTTAGAAGAAAGTAATGTCAGAGGAAAAGAAGGGTGGTGTGGATATCTGAGTGTCACCCTCATCTCCACAGGACGTGGAAAAACGTTTTGTTTCGTCAGGTTTCAAAGGGCGTAGCAATTACATCAGAGACACAGGATGACAGGACATCCGTGCACAGCAGCACAGAGCGAAAAAAAAATGCTTAGAGGAAAGAGCCACGCCTGCAAAAAGTTAACAGTGAAAAAAAATCATCCTCTCTTCTCTCGTCACCTCTCCTCGACATGGCTATAAGCAGCACTAAAGCAGCACTCCAATAGCTCATCTCCATCTTCTCTGTGTCCAGAGAAGGCGCCCATTGTATGCCCATTCCTCTCTGCCCAAGTCACTTTCCTATTGAGGCTCTGAAAGGGCCTTTGAGGGGCCCTGTTTTGGCTGTGCAGCTCACCTGCAGAGGAGAGACTATGGGGCTATTCTAAAGCCCAGCAGCTGCCAGGGCAGAGAGGCTGGCACCCAGTGGGAGAGAGAATAGTGGCCGCAGAGTCTTTCAATATGAAGCCACTTAGTAACAGAAGGCATGTGCCAAGCCTGCAAAGCCAGAAGGGAAAGTCAGCCTTTAGTTTTTCTGAGTTCATTTAATATCAAAAAGTATTTAGAACTATATTCTCTTATAATTCTTTATTTGTCCGGCCCTGCTGTTTGTGGAGTAATAATTTCCAGACTAGTTTGGATAATTCTCACAGTGTTTACAAACATAAATTCCTCAATCCCTGCAGGGGGTGCTATAAACACAGTTGAAGTTCCCTGATCTGCAAGTTGAGTACAAAGTTATTGTTTTCTCTTAATTCACTTCCTCACTGCAGGCTAGCCTTGGTTTCAGTATGTTTGTCCAGCTAAACATAGCACAGAGCGCTGCGGTTCTCTGGTGCTGCACAATTCAAGAAACTTAGTGCCAAAGCATTAAAGTTATTCTATTTTTTTTGACGAAAAACAAACCTATTTCTTAAGAGATTATTATTTAAAACAACCATGATAATCCTGCTAATCTCTTCCTTTACTGTTGACTTTTACTGGATCATTTCCACTGATAAATATTTCCACACTACCACACAGTGATTTAATTACTTACAAAAATAGCAAAAGATAAGACAGACAGAGAGTAGCACACATAAAATTATTATAATAACAAAATATAAATCACAGTGGGATTTCAATTTTTATTTATTTTTATTTTATTTATTTTCTATTGTTGTATGGATTCTTTTTATGAAGTTCCTTTGGTATTTTTTGGGCAGTATGTTGACCAACAGGTGGTGTGGTGGAGAGAGCAACAAGAGTCAAACTGGTGACCAAAACAAGCTACAATTTGTTTATGAAAAACCACTCAACTCTTTGTCATGTGACAGGTCCGGCTTAGATGTAGGATCTCAGGAGCTGCTGTTGCTGTGAAGAAGCTTTTTCCACACAAAGACTCTTTTCTATCAACGGGCTAGCTCCCACACAGGCGCTAATTTACGATGCCCTCACAGCAATTTCCACAGTCGGAGAAGTTCAATTGTGTTTTCCAGCTCATTAAGCATCTGCACAACAAAGCTTTCATTTTCTCCTCCGTCCACTTCATCCCCCTCTTCTCTCTCTTTCTCTCACTACTCATCATCTTCCCTTTATCCCACTGTCCACTAATCTTTAGGCATCTAGTCCAAAAAGGAAGATAGGCTGGATACATTGGGTCTAGTTATTCTAACAATTTCCCTCCCCCTACATTAAATTCGGTTTCTGTCTATTTTGTGTTTGGTTTTGTTTAAAGCTCTGCTTTAATTCCACAGGCTCCCCTCCTGTAGACTAGGGAGAATTTAATGGTTGTTTATTCAGGGGCCTTCGTTGTGCCCTCCCCTCTCTTTCAGGGTTTCATGAGATGATGTGGAATCTTTTGTGATCTACGAAGACTCAACTCAGCATATTTGTTCAGGTTGTCACTGTGCTGAGATCACAGACACAGACCTATCTACACAGGCTAAAAATATATGAAAGTTACACAAGACCGTTTTTTTTAAATGAATACTTTTAGTAAAAGTATTAAAATAGTATGCTTCAAAGGAATGACTTGGATAACTGAAATATCTCATTGGACGGAAGTATCTGCCTGAGAGGAAGTCAGTGAAAAGAATTAATTCCCACCATCAAATGCTAGCGTGTAGAACGAAGCAGAGCATGTAAATAAAATTAGTTCCAGTACTGGCTGCTCTGTAGTGACATCCTCAAAGTTTCAACGAAATATATGACTCACCTCTCAAACGAGAGGTTTTAGAGGTTTGCGTTAAAGTCATCAATGAAAAGTATATTCATAACCTCACCTACATAACCTTAGATGATAGCAAAAATCAGATTGTATAATGTTTATTGACATTATTCAAACTGGTTAAAGTTGATTCCAAGTTTCTGGCACATCTGTCCAAGATCTATATGTTTATATTTTATGTTTGTATTTCAACAGTATTTGAAGTCAACACAGGGGAGGTGTATGTGTGTGTTTTTGGCAGATTGTGTCAGGTTCCTAATGCTTCCGTTTACCCCCTGTGGAGTTTCCTGCTAATCCTCTCTCATCACTTTAATACTTTCTACTGCTCAGTACAGAGCCTATGATACTTTGACATCCCCTTTCTCTGTTCATCATGGTCATTATCGTTATTGAATGTAGAAAACCATCTCTCTCTCTGTCTCCTGTCAGCACAGCCTCTGAGCTCACTCTTACCCCTGGCTCGCTGCGGCTCCAGAGGGAGTGTCTGGTTCCCGCTGCCCTCCTGGTTCCTCCCACACTGCAACAATATGGCAACATTATCTCTGTGTTCACCTGTTAGCACCTGGCGCTGCAGGTAGGACTTACCGCTGAGTCTCCGACAGCCGCACACACTGCTCATTTCTGTTAGATGCCATGTGGAACGCGACTTCCTGTCACCAAACCCAATATCCTACATACAATGCACACAAAGGCATAATAACCCGCTCACTGTGGACCTCTCAACACTTTCCCCCGGCAGCTGAGCCGTGCCAACATATAAAAGATGAATGAAAACACTTAAGCAATCAACGACCCATCAGGTAATTACAAAGCTTCTCACTATCGTCTACCAATTGAGTTCCCACTACATCATTCTTTATGGGGGGTTTATTGAGGTCTGTGCACATGGAAAAGTGGTCTAACACGAATTTGGTGTTTTAACTATACTTGGCTTTAAACTGAATGTAACCCAAATGTCCAAGCAAACATGATCTGAGTCGGATGAGTATTACAGTTGTTCATTTTTATTAGATATCACTTAGAGCCTCCGAAGCCTAATGTGGCATTGCACCCACAACCACTTTTTTTAAAATGAAAAAAAGAAAAACTAAGACCTGAAGAGATTCTCCGTCTTTAAGTGTTTATGTGTATTTTTCTGCTATTTCATGGCAGGGTTTAAATTTTATTTTTTTTTAAATGTCTTCAGAACCCAAAGCTCAAAAAGGATACAGGGACATTATGTCTGTCTCGTACACAGTTAATTGTAGTCAACCAATTTCAAAACAATTTCCCATTTTCATACATTGGTATACAGACAGTAGATGACCTGGTTTCTGACCATTCACTGATTGGTGCATTATTTTGTGCTTTGTTTGTTGTTTCACAAAACAGCAAACAACGTCTTAATTTCTATAACTGACATCATGTTCCACTGGAGAAGGTCTAAGCTTAATTTTTTTGTACCAACAAGTATTAATGAAAGCAAATATTATTATTTTTATGTGGAGTGAGGAGTTGTTTTAGTGAATCATTTCTGCCCCTAGTGGCTGTATTCACTTTTTGTGAATTATCTATGGAAAACATAATAAGTCTGACTTTTTGTCTTTCCAACTCTGTTTCTTTAGAGAGAATGTAGGCCTTGAGGAGGTCCCTGACACCAGCCAAAATATCCTATAGACCCCTTAATAACTGCTGTCTCCTCAAGCTGCTCTTTGTGAATCCTCCTGAATTCTTTGTCTGTTTTTTTACTCTGTTACAAGGTCAGAAATGTTCTTAGAAAAATGGCCCGTGGTCCACGGCAGGTCACTGACCTTTTTCAATGTTAGGCCAAAACAGGATACACCTCACTCTACCCGGAACAGGTAGGGTAACAGCTCACATATCACAAAGTGCTCATGGTGGTAAAGATGAAACAACTAATTAAGGCTAACGTGTCCTTGCAGTTCCCATTCAGCCTGAATCAGATAAGGAGGAACAATTCTGGTAAGACCTGAGGCCTTTCACACTCTTTGGTATGATTGGCATGACGGCTCAGAAGAAAGGGAGTTGGATCTGTATCTTTGACTTCATTATTTCACTTGATAATTGCACTAATTTAAGTAATTAAAACTGGGGTAAATGGCTTTTGGTGATTTTGTTATTGGTGACATTTAATACTGCCTACTAGGTATTTTAATATGCTTGAGAAAATCCAATGTGATTTAATGTTTGTTTGTGTTTTCAGTTCCAACCAATGTACAAGCTTCTTCCTTCACATGCACAGTGTTGATCTTGTGTTTGTTTCTTACCAGGCTTATATGTAGCATAAAAAACAGCACTTTAAATACCCCACAGTTACGGTAGAGGCAGCTGAAAGGCCTAAACCTTGAATTTATAGATGAGGTAACATTTCACGAGGCATGAAATTTGACTAAAATCCCAATCCCAGATACTTGACTGTGAACTGGAAATAAAATGGTGTTAAGTCTGAACAGGTCTAATTTTTTTAAGTCATAACCAGCCATTAAAATGTCAGGAAATGTTTTATTTCAGACATAAAAGCGGAGTTGAACTTTTGTAATAATATACGCGAGGTTTAGGTTGTGACAGAACACTAATGATATTTACATTATGATACAGTACACCAGTTGGCGTAGGCAAGGGACCGGACTATAAATATGATACCTGTGCGTGTGGGTCGGTCAACACAGTTTATATAAAGAGCGTGTTTCCATGTAAATGTCAGCAGGGAAAGAAAAGCTTGTGACCCGAGATCAATGGATGTCTTGACATATCAATGTTGGCAGGTCCTCTCAGATGCAGGGCAACACTTGTGTTTCACTGCGCAGGCCTCACATCTCTTTTAAAGATGATACACTTTTACCAAAACCCTTCCTGCTGTGTTTCATGAATTTTTTATCCCACATGACTCTGGCCCCTTTTTAACAAAGTTTGCTTAGGAGAGCTGGAAGTCCTGCCAACTCCTATGAGTGAGAATGATTTAGAAAATGAAACATAAAAAGCTTGTTTCGACATATTTTTGAAGAGGAAAAGAAAAAGCTTTTTAGAATCCATAATAACTTCCTTTAACCAAATCCTAACTTGGGCCAGCCGTGGATAGACATGTCTGATGGATGAGTGGATGGATGGACAGTTGGTTGAATGGATAACTTTCAGAGAGGAAAGTGTAATTTTCATAAAACTATTCAAAGGCTAAAACTGAGCGTTATCCTATGCTAGTATCTGATAGTGTTACAGTATCTACTATGGAACAACTCCATTACCACAACGTACATAAAAAGTATACAACCTAGAGCAGGTGTGGGCAAACTTCTTGACTCGTGGGCTTACAGTTGTCCTAAAATTGAAGGAGGAGATAGAGTGTTCGTGTGA